CGCGGCTTCTGCTGTGGTTTGCGGGTAAACAGATGTGGCCCTGGGCAGCTCGGCGAGGAAACGAAGTACCTATTAGTGACTTGAGCAACAGCCCAGGCTGGCCGAGCTCTCGGCCGGGCCGGCTGGGGACACACCAGCTCACGGAGGCACACGCTCACATGCTCTCGTCCCCGCCCATGAGCCCACCAACCCAGGAGTACGCGGGTGCCCCTGGTGGGCTCAGGGCCCTGGCACGCCCCTCACACCTTCCCCCGCACCGCTTGCCTGCCCACTTTTGTATTTCCTCAGACCCCGGACTCATGCTTGCCTCGCACGTTCTGCTCCCCCTAAAAGTCTCTTCCGTGTTTCCTCTGACTCTTCCAGGAGGGCAGGGTGGGTGCTGGGGAGCCCCTGATTTGGGAAGCAGAAGACTGGTCCCAACCCTGCTCTGGGAGCTCTGTGACTTTGGGCAAGTTACTTGGCCTCTCTGTGCCTCGGTTTCCTGGGGTGTAAAGCAGAATGGATGTGATGAGGATTAAAGGAGATTATGAATGTGAGGGCCCAAGTACAGTGCTTGGCACAGAGGAGGTCCCAAGGGAGCAGTTATGACTGCGTGGTAAGGGCTCACTGTCCCCCAGCCCAGCTCCCTGAGAGCCAGGCACAGCTCACGCACCCGGGGCCCCTGGATTCTCCCAGCCTCCACACCTGTGGTGCTCCTGGGCCCCATCAGCCTCGGGCGACGTGGCTCATACCATGTTGAAACTAGGAGGTTTGGCAAAAATGGGCCCCTGGGCTCAGCTCTGCGGGGTGTGAGGCATCAGCGTCCAGGGCTCTGAGATCCACGGGGATTCAGAGACAACACCAGGGACCCAGCGGACCTTCGAGATGGCACCTGGGCCACGTCCGCTGTGGGAACCCTGAACCAATACCAGGGCCAACTTATCCACTAGACACAGCAGAAACAAGGCCCACAATACTTGTAAGGATTCCCAAAATGTTTTAATTTCTTTTGAAATCAGGAGGAAAACCCAACTTTTAGGGCAGAAGAAAGTGTTTCCATTTTTCTCTCACATCAGAAAAAATAAAATATTTAGAGCCCATGAAAATTTATTATGTGGGGGGGCAAAAGTCATGACGTGGCCCTGACCAATTCTTCATTTATTCAAACATATTTATTGGGCAGGGTAATTTCTATCAGTTCTTATTCGATCCTTGCAGTCTTGTCTAGCTGCACACATACCTCTCTTTAACTCAGAGGAGGAAAATGAGGCTCCTGGAGGGTAAATAATTTGCCCACAACAGCGAGTTTAGAGGAAACAGAGGTGGGATTTGAACCCAGCTCCATCTATCTGAGTCCAAATCCCTTTCTTCACTTTGTTGTTAGCACTATCGAGTCGATTTCAACTCCTAGTGACCCTGTGGACAGCAGAGCGGAACCCTGCCCGCTCTTTTTGTGCCATCCTCTCACCTTCCGGTGCTATATCAGAAGCTGCTATTCGTAGAGTGTTTGTGGCCAACTTTTTCAGAGTGGGTGGCCAGGTCCTTCTTCCTAGTCTGTCTTAGTCTGGAAGCTCTGCTGAAACCTGTCCACCATGGGTGACCCTGCTGGTATTTGAAATCCTGGTGGCAGAGCCTTCAGCATCACAGCAACACGCAGCCGCCACAGTATGACAACCAACAGCCGGGTGGTAAGAGCGCTGAATATTAACCACTGGACCACCAGGGCTGGCTTTTTCTTTGCTACACCACACTATTTGTAAGTCATCATTTTATTTAATTTAGTCCTTACAGCATAAGGGTGGGACAATCACCCCCATTTTAAAGCTGTGGAAACTGAGGCCTGGAGAGGAGAACGAGGTACCTTGCTCACAGTCCCATGGCAAGTCAATGAGGGAGTTGGGAACCAGGCCGTCCTCCTGAACCCCTCTCTACTGCCCCCCTGCCCTGTCCAAAGCCTTTCCTGCACCACATGGCCCCCATCTCCATCCTCCGCCCTCACTGTGGCCTCCTTCACCACAGCCACCCCACAGGGATGGCTCCCCTGCCTTTCTTCCCACCTCTTTTTTGTCCACTTTCCCAGCCCAGAGAGGGGCTGCTTGGATCTGTGCAACATCCACATCCCACCTCTTCACAAAGCTGGAGGCTGGCACTGCCGCCTGAGAGGGAGGGGAGAAAAGAGAGGCAGCAGGCCAAAGCCAGAGTGAGGGTTTACATGAAACCACAGGTCCCCCAGACAAACGCCCCTCTGTACCTCGGGGCCTGTTGTGACTGGCCACCAGCCAGCACTCACCGTGGGCAGCTTGAACGGCCCTCCTGTCCTCTCTGCGGGCCAGCGCCTGCCAGGCCTGAGCTCGGGCAGGAAAGGGGAGGGGTGTTCCTTCTGGAATGGAGAGTGTGGGAGGCAAGCAAGCCTTGGGGAGAGTGAGGGGCCACATCCTGAACCAAACCGGGAGGCTGGGAGAGTCACAGATGGAAGGACCCAGCTGTGCATTTTTCAGGAGAGCAAACTGAAGTCCAGACAGGACAAGTGACTTGCCCAGGGTCACACAGCGAGTAAGTAACAGAGGTAAGACTCGAACCCAGGCCTCCTAACCTCCAGCCAGGGTTCTTGCCTCCACGGCAGGCCTCTCTGTCGGGATTTGGTGGTGACCCTGTTAAATAGGTGAGGTAGAGCTCTACAGACCAGGACATTGAGACTCAAAGAAAATATCACAGGTTAAGACTACGGAGGACTCATTTTCCTAGAATTCCATGTTAAAGTGCAGGTGCCTCAGACAGAGTTTGCATCCTTAATTCATTAATTACAAACAGTTTGAGGTTAGCCCAGCCCTGGAAAAGGTGGGGGGAGAGGTAGAGAATCAACAGCGAGAGCACTGAAGGGTCAGCGTTGGGGTAAACTCAGATATTGGAGTTTGTAAGAGGCACTGGCCTTGGTTCCTAAAAAAAATAATAATAAGAGCACTTGGGGTCAGGACCCCTGGTCCCAAGGAGATTGCTGACACTCATTTGGGTCTGATTTTTTTCCCTGTACTCCTTTCCAATTTTTTTTCCAGAAGTTTCCAGCTGCCTGTCCATGGTGTACAAAACTCATTTACATCTACATATCCTTGCTTTACCAGGTGGCCATTAGAAGTAACTCAGGAAGCTCAGCCTGTGCCTTTTAGAAACTTATCGCAGTTGCGTCAGCAGGGTGGTGAAGGCAGAGCTAAGGGGAGGGCGTGGCCCCGTGGGGTCTCACCTATCGCTCACCAGCCCCCGTTTCTGTAGGTTTGGTTCGGTTCTTGCGACTGATCTTGTTTTGAATGAATGAGAAAGGAGTTCTTGAAAACGTACCAAATGAGCTTCCAATAAACCTTCCTCTCTCTGGGTGCCCCTGGGTGCCTTGCTGGCCCTCAGTTTCCCCACTTGTAAGAAGAGGGCCATGGACACATTAGTTTTCAGACTGGTTCCGCAGAATCCTGTGATCACAAGGAGTTGCCGCCACAGAGGGCGTGGGGACTGGTGAAGGAGAAGTGGTGGGGGTGGAGTAGAAGGGAGGAGGCTGGTTCCTTAAGTCTTCTGGAGGAGCTTAGTTTATCATCAATTCATCCCCCAAACTCTCCAACAGAAGACTAGATCTCCTTTCAGTCTGGACACACACAGCATCTACCAGTGGCAGTTTTTCTTGGCTGCAGAATCCCTGTGTGCCTCCCTCCGCCCCCGAGTTGGACTGGTTACCCCACTGGCTGCTGCAGGGCACCGCCCCAGGCACCCCCTGTCCCTGGATCCCGAGCTTCTCATGCTCAGTTTACTCTTTAGCGGGGCCTATCCTCCAGGAGCTGCCCAGGAAAAGGTGCACGGGGTGGGGTGGATTTTTTTTGAAGCCTTGCATGCCCGAAAATGTTCTTCTACCCTCACACTCAGTATTTAGTTTGGCTCACTGTACACTTCTAGGCTGGAATTATTTCCCCTCAGAATTTTGGAGAGTTGTCTCAGAGCTTCTAGTGCTGCTGCTGTCAAATCCACTGCCATTCTGATTTCATCTGATTGTTGATCCTTTTATTTGTATTTGACTCTATTTAAAAAAAAAATTAATGGACGTGTGTAGGATATTCTCTTTATATATATAGTAAGATGAGTCATATTATGGGTCTTTTTCTTTTTCTTTGTGAGGAAGATTAGCCCTGGGCTAACATCCAAACCCATCTTCTTCTACTTTATATGGGATGCCACCACAGCATGGCTTGACAAGCAGTGCATCCATCCATGCCCAGGATCCGAACCTGTGAACCCCGGGCCGTGGAAGCAAAGCGTGCGAACTTAACCACTATGCTGCCGAGCTGGACCCTTATTGTGGGTCTCTTTTATTCATTGTTCTGGGGACTCAGAGGGTCCTCTCATTCTGAAAATTCTGTCCTTCACTTCTGAGAAATTTTCAGATATCCCCTGCTTAAAAATTTCCTCCCTTGCCTCGATTTTCTCTGCTTAACCACTTCTGGAATTCTTATTATGAGGATGTTGGTCCTCCTGGATTAGTCTGTTCTTGCCTCTTTTCTCTCTCAGTCTTTTTTGTTCCACTTGATGAGACATTTTCTCAACTATTTTCTAACCCTTCTATTGAATTTTTTATCTCTTTTGTCAAATTTTTATTTCCTAGCACCCTTCTTATTCTCAGAATATTCTTATAGCATCCTGTTCTTGTTTTGTAGATGTAGCAGCTTGTCTCTGAGGATGCTGAAGTTTTCTTCTGCCCTTTGTATTGCCTGTTTGCTTTAAATGCCTCCCTCTGCTCATTTGTTTTGTTTGTTTGTTCATCATTGTTTGAGCTTTTACCCCCGAAGGTCTGTTGACTTTGGCTATCTGTTCCTATTTAAGAGTAAGGCACTGAAAAGCTCATTGTAAAAAGAAGTTTGTGGGAAACTCTGGGTGTGGGGGCGGGCTTGTCAACTAGTGGCCTCTCCATAAGCTGATTGGCAGGAATCTGGTCATTTCATTGGAGGATCCTCTACTATCAATCAGTATCTGTACTTTTGTTCTATTGGCTGGTCAGTCTCCCCAGAGCCTCCTCTCTAATTTCCTGCCTGGAGGTTGGAGCCTGGCTCTGGGAGTTCTGGCAGCCCAGGAGGTTAAGGGGACTGGCTGAGCCCCACAATGCAGGATTTAGACTTTCCTTCAACTCCATTTTCAGCCAGAGATTAACCACCACCTACTGGCTTTTCCCTGAGTCTCAATGTCAAATGTGCCTATGGATTGCCTTGGGATCTAGCTAAAGCCATATTCTCATTCAGCAGGTCTGAGTGGACCCTCAGATTCTGCATTCCTGACAAGGTCCCCGGAGCTGCCACTGCTGCTGATCCAAGGACCACACTCTGGATGGCCAAGGTCTGGAGTAGTGCTGTCGAAGAGAACGTTATGCAAAGGTGGACACGTTCTAGACCTGTGCTGACCAATACGGGAGCCATAAGCCTTAGTGCATGTTAAGCACTTGAAATGTGGCTAATGAGACTGGGGCACTGAACTTTTAATTTGATTTAATTTTACTTTATTGTCATTTAAATGTAGATGGCCAACATGCGGCTATCATCTTGGGCAGTGCAGGTCTTCCTCCTGATTCACTCTCTGCAGAGGGTGAATTTACCAGCTTCTGCAGGGTGGAGGAGGCCTATGGCAGGGAGGATAGAGGGAGGGAGGGATGGAGATGTTGACCTCAACAAAGAAAACAGCCAGTTATTTTACCAGCAAAATGGGTTTATTCGGGAATAGCAGAGGAATTGCAATTCGGGCCAAGCCAGCTATAGCAAAAAGCATAGGCAAGTCCAGCAAACAAAGGAGAGGAATGTTACTTTATAGACAAAAAGGAGGGAGATGGGAGGGATTGCTTTGAATGAAAATCCATTGGTGGGAAGCGAGAGTTTCTCATGGGCTGAGTTGCTAGGCAAGGAGGCAGTCTTTCCTCCTGCTGGGATAGTAATTCACTATTACTATAGTAATAGTGGGGGGGGTGCCTGTAATTGACATGGAGTTGTGGTGGATGAGGGCTCCCCCTTCTGGCCTGCAGCCCTCATCTTAAATGGAGTTTCCTTGACTCTGTTTCCCCGAGGAGATGGAGGGGATGGTGTTGAGCTGCTCCTTTTACAAACTTTCATCTTCCTCTTTTCAGCCCCACATGGAATCTTGACTCTTGGCGGCACCTATGGCCACCCATCCCTGAGTCTTCCTGGGCTTTCTTCAGTGCGATCAGCTTTTACTGGTTTCCGCAGTCTGCAGGTTTGAGCCTCAGCCTTTTCCAGGCTGCTGAGTCACACTCAGCCATCAGCTTTTCCAGCTTTCGCACCTGGATTGGCTTCTCTCCAGTGTGGTTGTCTTCTCTCCTGTTCCCTTTGGCCTTGTGGGTTTATGCGTCTTGATTACTTTACTTTCATTCATGAGCGGTTTCAGGAGGAAGCAGAGATGAATATTTGTGTTCCATCTGCTTGTGTTTCACCAGAGGTCCCTCCTGCATTTTTTAAAAGAAAAAGATCCCAAACTGTATTTCTCCCAAGATGAGGCAAACCCAAATTTATCCTTTTTACCTGGAGTTTTCCTGCAGGCCGGGAGATTTGTTGTACCTGGGAGCCCAGAGACCCCATCCCTAAATCACTGCAGAGCCTGAGAGCTGCTGGAAGAGGTCAAAGGCTGGGGCTGGCACGGTGGCATAGTAGCCCAGCCTGGTGGCGTAGTAGTTAAGTTTGTGCTCCCCTTCACTGGCCCTGGGTTCGCAGGTACAGATCCCAGGCGCGGACCTACGCACCGCTTATCAAGCCATGATGTGGCAGGCGTCCCACATACGAAGTAGAGGAATATGGGCACAGATGTTACAAGCCCAGGGCCAATCTTCCTCACCAAAAAAAAAAAAAAAAGAGGTCAAAGGCTCTACCTGTCTGGGGAGAGGGAGAGCCTGGCTGACCCAGTCGGTGTAGTTTCTCTATTCTGTAAGGGGATTGATGGGCCCAGGCAGGGGCCAGACAGCTGAAGGGCATCCTTGCAAACCAGAGCTGGGCAGGGAATGGACTTACAAAACTAAAGATGTTCTAAGCCCTTGGCAGGGAGGAGATTTGGAAAGGAAAAATTGAGAATGGTTACCAGTTAACTGGGCAAATAAATCACACAGATGGGATGGGATCCTGGCTGGCAGGGGCTGGAGCGGGGTGGTCCTTCAGGACGAGATGAACTGCAGATGTATTTGTAGTTAGGTGGAGGTAGGTGCTGAGACTTATGTGAAATCAGCTTGTGTGGCAGGGAAGGAATCAGGCCTGCCCTGTTGCCTCCTGAGCCCACTCCCCACACCCTGGCCCAGCTGGCCCAGTGTCCCCAGGACTCTTCCTCTGCTCCTCTCTCACGGTACTTCTCGTCGTGTGCTCGTGCCTACCACTCCTTGGACGTGTCTGATCAACCTCTGCATCCCCCGCAGCGCCTGGCCTCTGGGATATGTCTGTTCAGGCAGGGCAGGGCACGGAGGCAGGAGTGGACTGAGTACAGACCTAGAGGTCAGACAGATAAGAGTCTAAATTCTATATTTTAGGCTCAGTAATGGC